GCACTTGCTGCTCTTGCAGAGGACCCAGGTTCAAATCCCAGCACCCACATAGTGGCATAATTCTAGTTCCAGGGGATCCAGTACCCTCTTCCGACCTCTGTGGGTATTATGCATGCACATAGTACAATACATATATGCATACACATAAAATAAAAATAAATACATCTTTTGAAAACAAATGAATTCAGTGTTTCGCCGTAGTAACTTTCAAAATGACTCTCGGCTTTAGTCTTGTATTCTACTCGGTGATGTATACATATATGAGTATGTATGTGTATATATGTGTGTATGTGTGTGTGTATATATGTGTATATGTGTGTATGTGTGTGTATATATGTGTATGTGTGTGTGTATGTGTGTGTGTGTATGTGTGTGTGTATATGTGTATGTGTATATACTGTCTACCCCTTAGAAATAGACATTGTTTTCAGACTTGAAGAGCCTTAGGAAATAAGCAAATCATCTTTTTTGGCTTGCTTTCTAAGTACAAGAAAACTGGGCATTGTGGTATATGCTATAATCCTAACACACCAGAGATGGAGGCGGAAGGATTCCAAGTTCAAGCTCATTCTCGGCTATAGGAGGCCCTACTTCAAAGAAAGAGAGAGAAAACAGAATGAGGGGCCAGAGAGTTAAATGATTCCTTGGGGCTGTACCACTGAGTCAGAACTCAGTCACTTTACACTGTCATGGGTTTCAGTAAGAGTGATTTGTGTTTGAACCAGCACTTGAATAACAAGCTTTTTCTTTCTTTCTTATCGTCTTTCAGTTTCCCTTTCAAGACAATCTTTTTCAATCAATGTACTACCCTCTCCAGCTGAAGTTTTTGGAGACAGTGCACACGCTGTGTGGACGGATCCCCCAGGTGTTTCTGAAACAGATTGAGAAAACAATGAGAAGGGCTTATGAGAAGCATGTCATCATCCACGTGGGCCCCAACTCCATGAGCTGAGTGTCCACCTTGCTTTGAGTCAGCCTGGTGTCTGTGACTAAGGACATGGATCCTTATGCTGCCTGGATATTTGTGTGTGTGTGAATATTTAATGGTGCTCTGTAAATGTTGAGTTTCAAATGCCTGGTTACATTATGCTGAGTTAGTTATCCCTAAAAGGGAATATGCTTTTCTTTATTTTCTATTAAAATTGTATTTATCTTTTTTTTAAAGTTCTTATCATGAATTTAACACTGTCTCAGTGGGTTAAGAAAGGGAACTTTTCCTAGCCTCCATATATGAGACCCTGCTGGATTATGCAGGATCATAATTATCTGGTATTCTAGAGATTCTTCCTTTGCAACTTGCTCTCTTACCCTATTAAAAAGGAATACATATTGGGGCTGGCAGGATGGCTCAGTGGTAAAAGCATCTGTCACCATGCCTGATGACCTGGGTTCAATTCCCTAGATGGGAGTTATTCTCTGACCCTCATGTGTACCCACACTCACACCTGCAAATAAAGAAATGTAATATTAAAAATAACAGGAGGGGGCTGGAGAGATGGCTCAGCAGTTAAGAGCATGGCTGTTCTCCTGGAGGATCCCAGTTCAATTCCCAGCACCCACACGGCAGCTCACAACTGTAACTCCAGTTCCAGGGGATCTGACACCCTCACTCAGGTATACTTGTAGGCAAAACACCAATGCACATAAAAATAAAAAATAAACTAAAATAACTATAGGAGCTGGAGAGATGGCTCAACAGTTAAGAGCACTGACTGCTTTTCCAAAGAACCTGCATTTCATTTCCAGCACCCACATAATGGCTCACAACCATCTATAACTCCAGTTCCAGGGCATCCAATACCCTCTTTTATCCTCCACAGGCACTAGGCACATAAATAATGTGCACAGATATACATGCAGGCAGAACACTCTCATACATAAAATAAAATGATAACTTTCAGAAATTAAAAGATAATATGTGTTGTGAGACAAACCTGGAGAGAATAAAGGTCAACGAAATGCAATCAAGATTAGATTAGACATAATCCTACTAACCGCTTGAAAAGGTTGTCACCGTTTTTAATGTATTTCCTTACAGACTCGTTAAAGCTTCCCTGACTTCTGTATTTCCATTGTAACCCGTTTAAAACGCGTGACCTCGCTAAGGAGCAGCCTCTGTGCTAAGATTTCATGTGGGAGGCTGAAAAGCCAGACGAGATAATTACCGCACTGCCGCGTCTGGAAGAGGCTTTCAGACCAGCTAATTGGGCAGCATTTCAAGATGAAGCATGTGTCTGGGAGTGCATCTCAGAAGGATTGCTGAGCTCCGAGGAGGGCGCAATCGTGAGAAATGTCTATGCAACAGAAGCTTCTGAGAAAGCCCAGGGGATCTCTTTAGCGAGGAGCAGTATTCTATGTTTCTCCACGGACGAGAGCACTTGCCTGGACTTCTGGGCAGTGGTAGAAAGCCAAGGACGGCTTCAGATGTTTGTTTGGCTTTCATTGTTTTTGTTTTCGTTGTATTTTTAACTCTGTGTCTGTGTCTCTGTCTCTGTCTGTGTCTGTGTCTCTGTACAGGCATGTAAGAGCAGGTGCCTGTGGGCACCAGAAGGGGAGGGACTTAAATCCCCTTGAGCTTGAATTACAGGTGGTGAGCTTCCTGACCTAGGTGCTGGGCACTGAGCTTGGGTCCTCTGCAAGAGCAGCAAATGCTCTTAAGCCGTCTCCCCAGGCCTTGTTTGGTTTTGTTCTGTTTTGTATTTCTAAAGACAGGATTTCACAACCTGCCTGCCTCCACTTCCAAGTAAGTACTGGATTTACAGGTGTGTACCACCACACCCAGCTCCCGTTTCAGATTTAATTTGCTCAGAGAAAATATTTCAGATAATTTCATTGGCAAGAGAATTCAAATTCCTACCATCCTCGGGTCTCTGCCTTTTTTTTTTTTCTTTTTCACTGTGGTTAGCCAGCTCTTAGCTTAGGAGCCTTGCAATCCCATCACCTAGCTACAGCAGGGGAAGTTCTTATTCTATCCCCATGAGGGATCCGAATTAATCCCTAGTTGCTCTTAAGGTTGGTATCAGCATAGGGATGTTTTGCATAATGCTTTATTTATCTCAAATGACTTTTGCATAAAGGGCCTTTTTGATGTCTCCCGGCAGCCCAGGGAACTAGGAGGGGCCTGTATCATCTCCACGAACTAAAAGAGGAAAGTCTAACACAGAGAAAGGAACATGCTTGATATAAGTACATTTCTATAAAACACATGTTTGTGTAAGATGAATTCTATTTTCTAGGGAAGAAAAAATTGAAAATAAACATCCTGAGTTCTCTTCACCCTACATAGAAAGCAATCTGAACGTGGAAAATAATACATGTTATTTTTATTAGTATAATGTGGTAGCCCGCGTATCAGAGCCCAGCAGGTTATCACAGGCCCTGTGGCAGCAGAATTGTGTCACCCTGAGGAGACAGCAGAACACTTCGGCACTGCAAAGGCAGTCGGGGGTGGGGTGGGGGGGTGGTGACGCAGTTATGGAGGTTAGTCACTCAGGAAAGGCTGAAATGCTAAGGGACGGCCATTCTCTCCTCTAGCCTACAGCCTGCTGTTGTTAGGGAAACAACCCAGTGATGTGTTACTCTCATTTTTACTCTTGTTTTGTGTCCTCACCAGCAGACATGGCCTCTTATTTCCGGTCTTTCTGGCTGTGGGCACGTGGGGTGTGCAGTAAATACCCACAAACTAGGTTTCCGTGACGGAGCCAGAATGTACACAGAAAACATTGACTCCCATTCCGGTCTCCTTTCTGTCTGTTCTGAACATCCAGTGAACCCAGGAGCTCTATTTAGATTTTCCATTCATTGGTCACCAGATCTAAAGACCTTCCATTCAGTCTTCAGAGAAGCCTTCAAATACAAAATACAACAATGCCTTCGGTTTTCTGAAAGCCGGGTCTGCTCACAATGTTCATCAGTTTGATGCCAACTGAATCCATAATACTGTTGCCAGTGAAGGTCAGTGAGAGAATTTTAAAACATCCTTGAAGGACCAAGTGTGATCACATGACACTTTGAAACCTAATGTGATTTTCCTCCACCATGGCATTCCCATGCTGTGTTCTAAAAAATTTTAGGTGTTTAGTGGAGAATTTAAGAAAAAAATTTCTCTTCCAACTCTTTTTACCTCAAAATGGTAATTATTTTCTATGCTAAGATATTACTATGAGGTAGGGTTTTCTCTGCCTTTGGTATTTCCTGGCAAACACCTTTGAACTCCCAAGAGCAACTCGTGTTTATTCAGTGAACTTCGAAAACATGTGGTCTGTGGGAGGAAGTTACAGGCTGCCTTTCGGCTCCCTAGACCACACTGAATCCATACTGGGAGCAGCTAAGGCTGCTTCTCCTGTCTCCTCCAGGTCTGCCCTTCTTTTTCTCCCCCCCCCCCTTCCCTTCTGTCTTTAGTCACAGATGTATTGCTGTGAAGAGACACCTTGACCAAGTCAGCTCTCAGAAAGCATTTCACTGGGGACTTGCTTACATTTAGAGAATTAGTTCATTATCATCGTGTCGGGAAGCAGACAGGCATGAGGCTGGAGCAGTAGCTGAGAGCTTCACATCCTGATCCTCCGGCAGCAGGCAGAAAGAGAGATTGGCCTTCGTGTGGGTCTACTCCCAGGGACACACCTCCTCCAACAAGGACACACCTTCTATCACCTGAGGACAAAGCATGCGGACATATGAGCCTATGGGGGGTATTCTCACTCAAACCACCACCACATCTGCCTTCTCTCTTTCCTCATTTCCTTTTTAAAAAAAATCTGCTTCACAGATGTAGTAGCTATGAAGTTCTGTGGAGAATGTCAGAGCAGTTTCTAATAGCAGGCAATGGCCATACTTTCGCACATGTCGCAAGTGAGATTTCAATGGCAGGGTTAGTAGAGAGGCTGACATTATTTCTTGCTGTTTATTTCCAATGTAAATCTGAGGAATTGTGACCTACATGAAATTTCTAATACTTGAGCAAGTCCTGTCTACAAAATCAGCTTGAGTACCTCCTCAGCTTTGACAGTTGCATTAGCGTTTGGGGCACAGCGCTCTAAGTTTCAGTTTTTTGTGACATTTGGATCTCATATTCAGCGCTCCTCTGTGAGCCGTCTGCACTTTCACTGTCTGCTTCCGAAGTGGGCACTTACACTCTCCCAGAGGCCGGCCAATATTTCTACGAATACATTTGTAGTGTCCCTAAGCAAAAGGAAACCGACAAACCAAACCGTGCATAATCAAAACACAATTCACAGTGCTAGCTTTGGGCATGGTGGCTCACATCTGTAACCCCAGTGTTTAGGAAGATGGCTGTGAGTTAGAGGCCAGCCAGGGCTACATGGTGAGTACCAGGTCATCCAGGCCTTTTTCAGAAAAAAAAAAAAAAAAAAAATCAAGGGGAGACAGACAGGGGACTGGAGAGATGGGTCTGTGGTTAAGAGCACTGACATTTCTTCTTTCCAGAGGACCTGGGTTTAATTTCTAGCACCTACGTGGTGGTCTACAACCATTTGTCATTTCAGTTCCAGGGAATGGAATACCCTCCTGTGGCTTCTTAGGATACCAGGCATGCATGTGATTCACAGACACACATGCAGACAAAATACCCATACATACAATTTTTTAAAATTTAAAAAAACACTGAAGCATGACAGATGCTTTTAATTCAAGCACTCGGGAGACAGAGGCAGGTGAATCTCTGTAAGTTCAAGGCCAGTCTGCTCTTCAGAGTGAGTTCCAGACCAGCTGGAGCTACGTAGTGAGACCCTTTCTCAAAAACAAAACCAAATGCGCGTGTATGTGCGCGCGCGCACGCGCACACACACACACACAGTGCTCTGTCTCAAACAAAAAGTTACTGTGATTGATCATAAAATAGTGACTCAGGAAGTTAAAAATCATTACAGCATGCCCTGCAAACAGGACACCTGTGACCAAATGTAGAACTATAGTAAATTATTTGGCATTTACTCATAAAGGATAAATGTCATATGTTTGATGAGCCAAAATGGACATCATTTCATGACGAAATTCAGAAATTTACTGTTAGTGTACTAGTGCCATTTAACAGAGAGGAGCAACTCTTCTTATGCCATTGTTTTTTGCTTTTTTTTTTTTTTCATATTGGCCTTCCCCTCTCTGCCTACGATATAAATGTCTGGGTACTACAGGAACCTGGGTTT